AAAAAAAAAAAAAAAAAAAAACGGCCTCGAGGGCCGTGACCTACCCCAGCAAAGCGTAGCGAGCGAGTCGAAGAGAACGAAGGGGCCACGTGGATGGGATTGCAATACCGTTGAACAAACGAACAAAAAAATGGAGCTTGAAGATGAAACACCCGCAAAGTAGAGCGCTATGCTTCGAGGACCGTGACCTACCCCGGCGAAGCAACGCGTCTCGATCCGAAGAACAAAGGGGGCTATCAAGATGTTGCGAACAAAATAAAATGGGGAGAAGAAAAAGAAAAGGATCAAAATGATCAAGAACACCGTGCTTCGAGGGCCGTGACCTACCCCGGCGAAGCAACACGTCTTGATCCGAAAAACAAAGAAAACTCAAGTACGAAATAAGATAAGATAAAGAAAAGAAAAAGAAAACACCAAGGACACCGTACTTCGAGGGCCGTGACCTACCCCGGCGAAGCATTGCGAACGGTGTAGAAAATTACAAAACAATGAAACATAAAGAATAGAGGACAAGGGTAAGAGATAAATTTGCTCACCTTGCCCACGGACATGACTTTGCGGAGGATTTGGCTTGCGGAGGGGGGGGGGGTTGGGCAGGAGACGGAACGCGGAGAAGGAGGGAGACAAAAAAGCAGAAGGGGGACGAGAAAAAAAAACCATCGCGGCTGAGCGGCCTTTTCAATGGATCCCAAATAGGCAACCACGTGCTCGCAGCTTGCGATCACGTCAGCGCTAAGGCCGGAGCGGCACTCCATAACGTCTTGGCACAGATAGGCATCGATAGGGCTTGCATTCGCAGTCAGACAAGATGATACAAAAACAAAGAAAAAAACATAAAGGATCAAACACCCGTTACCACCCGTAGATCCTGCGGAATTCAAGTCGGTTCAAGCTAGTACGAAAATTACGTCAAGATGAGGTGGCAAAAAATGGCCAAGATCAAAGAAATACCCACCGTTGACCTTCAAAGATGATGACCTCGTCTTCAATAGCAGCGTCCACTGCATCCTTTCCCTGCTGGACAAGATCACGGATCTGGTGATGACCAGCAACAAGACGTCGATAATGATGTGTGATTCTTCGAAGGTTACCCGTACTGAGTGTCTTGGGGCTGTCAATGGCTTCCTGCGCATCCGCAATGAGTCGGTCGACCACGGCTTGAAGATCATCGATGTATGCAACGCGGGCCTCTTCGATGTCTTCTGGATGCTGCTCAGGCCTAAAGATATGGTTGATTTTGCGGTGTATATCTTCCCAGGTTGCCATCTCAACAAGTGCATCGTGTTGAGAGCGGATTCGGTCAGGACTGCGACTCGTGATCGCTATAGCACTGTGGTATACGCTGCTTCAATTTAGTCCATAGCTCGACGGAGATGAATAGGCTGCTCACCCTCGTGCACCTTCCATTTCGCGCCTACGCTTGTCTTCAATTTTTGAGGCTTCCGCTCGTCCCAATCTCCTGCGACCAACACCCTTCTTGATGTAGCGTAGACGTTGGTGGCGATTTAACGGTGGGACATCGCTAGAGGGGAGTAAATCAATGAAGTGTCCGTAGCATGAAGGTTCACTGTGAACCTACTTGGCCGACATTGAGCTTGAAGTTGACAACGTCGAGGCCAAACAAGACGACCAGACATAGGCGCCAACCAAGTGCCAACGACATGTTGAACCGCTCCGGAATTCCCTGTCCATTCTTGATCACCCCACCGCGCGCGGTATCAAAACGTCAATACAATGAGCTACAGGTCGCTAATAAATCTGAAAAAATATCCTCACTGTTCCTAAAGTAAGCCCCTACCGAATGATATCAAAATATATCTGAACCTATCTGCCGATGACACGGCTGAGTTTCCACTGTCAGAACGTGGACAGAGCTTGCTCGTGTTCTACATGCTCAAGTCTGTTTGTCTCCCACCTACCATACCACTCCAACATTTTGCATGGGTCCCGCACCGGTCTACTAGATATTCACAGCATATTTATCCTCACAATATCATCTGTCATAACCGTCACCTGTACCCTACGTATATTACCTCCTTTTTAATTCATTTTCTGTGTTATTCACCCCCGCACGCCACCCAAGAACGACGCCACTGTCTCTACAAGTCCCTCACATTTTTCCGGACATTTCTATCGTTTTATTTCGCCCTCCGAACCTCGTCGAACCTCCACAAGCCACATAAGGAGATCGGCTCGGCAAGTCCCGCACTCGCGCGTCGAGCCTCGTTTCTTAAGTCTCGACCCTCGTAAAATGTCTCCCGTGGCATTTCTCCTATCAATGCACGAAGGACCGAGTACCCGCATGGAACGCAACATGCCAAGGAGACTTCCACAATTTATCTGGAGTTTCTACGATTTTATTCAAGCCATACACGACAGGCGATCGCAGCTACGGAAGCTCGCACCGAGCTGCCGGTTCCTGTGGAACGTTTCGAACTCCGACGCGCTGGAATTTCCACACCCCTTCTAACGACGCTACAGGACGCTACACTGGGGGGTTTT